GACGTGATCTCTGGTTTATAACACCACTCATAAACAGCATTGTTCTTCCAGGACAATGTCTTGGTTTAGTTTTCAAAAGTACTGCAGCTAACACATTGTCCTGTGATAGCTGAAGTAATAATTTCTGATAATAACAAACAAAATTAGATTTTAGAAAAAGACAAAAATGTGCACTGCCCCCCAAGATTAAAAAAAAAACTAAAAAAAACCATCCTCTGTCATAAAGCTTTGGCCCTTTTGCTTATCCTATTTGGAAGCTGGCTGCTATCTCCCCCACTGTATCTCACTAGTCTCCCCTTATTCATAAGAAACAGAGATTACTTAGACTCCCTCATAATGTTCTGCTTGAAGGATTGCTGAACAAGACTTTGGCTGGATTGTCTGCCTCAATGTTTTTCTGAAATGACTGTCTGGCATAGAGTCAGATATCTTAGCACTCGGAAGACCTCAACTCTCAGTCTGGTCACTTTAGAAAGAGTGAGGAAGCCAAGTTTCTTCTTATGGAATACCAAAGAATCAGAGAATGGTTTGAGCTGAAATGCACCTTCGAGCTGCAGCCCCTGTGCCGTGGGCGGGGACACCTTCCACTAGACCAGGCTACTCCATGGCCAAAATGACTGGGTGAATTCTGGCTTCCAGTCATGCAGAAAACAATTCTCCACTGGTCATCTTCTAGGGTGCCCTGACATCTTTTTAACTGGCAGCAGACATAGTTGTGACCAAGACAAGAAAAGAAAATCTGAAATTTCAGAATTGTTGTGGAATGGAGTTGAATACAGAACAAGTTCTGCTCAAAGAGATTTGTTATAATTTTTCTTAATTCTGACCAGAAATAAATTGTTACAGAAAGAATGCTGAGAGTACTTCAGTTTCAGTGAAAATGTCTGCTTTTGCCATTTTATTTATGTTTTGTTCATTACTCTATATATTTTAATTCCAAGAAAATCATGCTCTCTCTTTTAATATTTACATTAATTGGAAGCCAAAATCAATTTTTTTCCCTAAGTTTCTGGGTTTCAAATAAAATGTACTTTCTCACAGAAACTGTTCCATCAACACTAAGTCATCACAATATTATCAATATCCACAGACAGCACTTGTAGCCCGGGGTTGGAAGGACCCTGATGCCATACTCTCCCCATTCCCCTTTGGAAAAGCTTTGAAAAAGCAGTTGCTTATTTTCATAGGGTACAAGGACCACAAGTGTTGCTGGTGCTAATGTGATGAGTTCATTCATGGAAGACTCCCAGCATCATCTAGCAAGTTCTGGTATTGTTTTATAACGGAAATTAAACTTTGCCTAAGTCAGAAGACACTGCTAAGACATGGCTTTTGTTGTCACTGGAGTCCAGATATCAAACAGGCTGTAATTTCAGGGTGGTGTAACCCAGGGAACTACAGGCCATTGCTTTTGAAGAAAGCTATCCTGCAATAATCTATGCTTCCCATACCTTCCTTCCCTCCTGCATATTGTCCCATTCTGTCAGCAGCTATGTTCTTAGGAAGAACTATGAATAGATACCTCTGAAATGCAACGTGGTTTGTTTTTTGATGGACCAGATGGCACCCAGTGACAGATATATTTCAATAATACATTCCCAGAAGAGGACACTTCTGTTCCTCTGACAGTACCTGAATGATGCAAATTATTTATACCTTCAGTAAAATATTTGGAGATTCTCCAACAGCTATATGTAAAATTATTTGCTTCTATTCAATAAGAAAACACATTTTGGTGCTGTTATTTTTTTTTTCTTATTTTTGTTCTTTTTTTTTTTTTATCTCAAGAAGGAAGATAATAGAGAGATCCATGTTCCTTTCACAGACAGGAATTTATGACTATATTTTCACTAAAATATGCATATTTTTCACTAAATTATGTATATTTTCCATCAGTCTCAAACAGACTAGATGTTTAATGCTACAACTAGGCTTCATTTGATGATTCAGCTTTTGAAAAAATCAGGTTATAAATCTACACGAATACTATATTCACTGACATCTGAGTGGGGTCAATATGACAAAGGCTGTGGTGTTCTGCCTTGCCTCTCTCCCTAACAAAACACAGAGAGTGTTGTCATTCACCATTATGATTGGGATTCAAGGTCTTTAGAAGCCTGGCAATAAAACATATTGAGGCTTGAATACATTCCTTACATTGATGGCTGAATGACTTTTAATTACCAGAATTTCTCTGAATAGTCTCTACCAGAATAAAATAAGGTTTCATTTAAAGTCTGAAATTGCTTTTATTTTAGGAATCATGTTCTATTTCAGTTCCATAGTTCTGATTCTGCTCCATGTTCAACAGCTATTTATTCTTAAGGAAGGTTTAACTTAAGTTCTGGGTTTAAGAAAATAATAAACTGAAGTTTTCATGATTCTTCTGCATTCTATTTCAGGTGGGCACGCACAGAATATGCTCAGACTTGGAGGTTATATGCATTTTAAAAGAGATTGCTTTCTAACCACTCTTTGAAAGCAGCATCTTAAAAATCTCTGATGTTTCACTAGCTCACACAGCAAAAAACAAGATGATTGTGTCTGCAAAAATGTAATTGTTCCAATTTTTATCCTACAATTAAAATCACATGTTGTTCTATCCTTGTGCTTTTTGGAATTTTTCACTGTAGGATATGCTAAATGTGAGTTTGCAAACTCAGTGGCCCTCTTCTCTTTTTCTTAATAGCAATTTGCCACTCAAACTTCTGCCAACTGAAACAGTCAGAAGTTACTTTTATGTTACTTAAAAGAAATAAAGTGATATATTTTCAAAGCAGTGGATATAAATTGATGTTTACTTTTAGTAAAAGAAGTTCTGTAAGTTGATAGGTGTAAACTGGTGTCAAGGTTATATAAAGAACTTAAAATTCAATCCGAATGATGCTTTGATATATATATATATACAAACTCACATTTCCAGTTTCACGCATTACACGTAAATTACCAGATATCATAAGGCTGCTAAGAACTGATAGTTCAGAGCTGTGGATCTAGTTCAGCAAGAAATGATAGTTTGTTTTCTCACAGAGGACTACAGAAACATCATCTGAAATGCAGACATATGCTTTGAAGTAGAGTAAGGGCAAAAGATTTTCAGCATCTGCTAACAACTATTGTGAGGTTTGGGTTAGAACTTGGATACAATCAGTCAATTTGCATCAATCAAGTTTACTTACACTTCAAGACATAATGAACTATGACCAACAAAATTAAATACATGAACATAATATATCAGCAAAATGCATTCTTGAAGACAATGGGTAAATAAACAGTAAAATTCAGAAAATTCAGATTTTTTGAGTATTTTTAGGATAAAATGTAACCTTTGCTGAATGATTTTGGCTGTTCTCATAGAAATTTCAAAGGGCATGACTAGGGCATTTCTAGGTGCTACACCACTGAGAATTTAATTTGCAACTAAATAAAAAAGAAACTGATCGTCTGCAACTTTCTGTAAAGAATGAGGTCAACCATCATTTTAATATCAATTGCAACCTATAGACTGCATAGAGGGTGTATAGTGCTGCCCATACATAAACATATTCATGCAATTATAACCTTAGGTATTTTCTTTATGGATTATAATTGAACAATGATGACAGACTTCATAGCCAAACTATCACAAAAGCATCAAGGCTTTATCGGGCAGCCAAACCATTACTGAAGTTGTGACTGGACATTACTATAACATTATACTATAACTATACTATAATATTAACCATGCCAACACCATGCAGAAAAGGTGATCCCAGACAACAGCAGCCAGCAAAACTCATCTCTCATAAATTGAACTGTAAAAAGATTAAGTCTATAATATTTTCTTGAAAACATCTAGACAAGTCTATTATGTGACAGAAATAATCTGTTAAGAATTTGTCACATTTTGCATACCTCCATATCTGTATTTAGTTCAGTAAATACCACTGATTTTTTGTTATTTTGTGTATGTGCAATCATTAAAATACTTCTTTAGGACACCTGGATAGCGTTTCAGTTATATAATTGCCTAAAATCCACTGTTTTTCTGATTAGTAAATAAGTGAGTGATCTAAAGAAAACAACATTCCTACATTCATTTTCTCCAACCAGTGCACTGCAAGCTGTAGATGTAATGAGCCTTACAGAAAACTGAGGAGGCTGCCAGACAAACTCCATGCTGAACCTGCTGGTGGTAATCCCATCACACAGAGCAGAAGAGGCTGGTAAATCCACCTGTTTCTGAGAACTGGCCTCCCATCATTCCTGGGTTTATCTTTGATTTAAGCATTTGATTTGATTCACAATGCTGCTTAGAGGAGCGATTTGAAAAACTCCTTACAAGAGATAGCCAGATCTTCTCCCACTGGCTTGTTTGTGTACTCCACTCCATTAAAATGCTACAACTTTATGTTTGTAAATCCACACCTCTAGAAAGAAGTGTGTAACTTAGTCTCAATACATCATCACTGCCTATTTGAATCCAAGATATGTTAGAAAATGAACATCAGTGCAAAATGATGTGACCTAGAGATCAATTCTTAAATTAGCTCTTTTGGGGTGGAGGGATCAAAACTTGCAAATTCTGTAAGTCTTATTTTCTTTGAGTGGGAGTGAAGGGTCCTAGTTTATAAAGCTGTTTTCAAATTTATGCTAATTATAAAGTGTTCCAAAACCAGATTTAGATCCTCAGGCCTTAAAATTCCTGCAGGGTGAATTACTTTAGAAAAAGAATTGTTTTCTTTAGAAAGGCAATCTATTCCTGCAGGCTGGTAAAATTTAAATCTGTGATGGCATGTCTAACACCAAACCCAAAAAGCCCACAGGTGCTGGTTTAGCTAAATAAGCTCCTCTAACAACTTAGTTTTTATGTCATTAAAAATGCAACAAAGTAACCTGAGTTTCTAAAAGAAATGTGAATAAAGAAGAAGAACAGAAAGAGAATTACAGGCATGACTTCTGATGCCATGAAAGATTGCAAGATTGTGAAATTGTAGAAAATCTGAAGATATTTCCCTTACCTTAATTACAGATTTTCACCATGATGTCCCAGAAGCAGAGAACATCTTAATTTCCAAACAAAGAAATATGTTCATCCTACCAAAAAAATAAAGAGGAAGAAAATATGAAATTGGAAAATGACTTTCAATTTCAGAAAGTTTGCTACTCTTGTACAGTCATGGAAGTCCTGTTTAGTGCCAAAGGAAAGGAAGTTTAATTATATTTGCTGTAAGGTGATCATAGCATTGTAAAACATTTAATGAGTGTTAAACTAAGACAACACAACAAGACTGAAGGCTCTTTTTGTGTGGCTGATTCAAAGAGCTTTCAGAAAATCACCATCTTTTTATACCATGGGTATATACAGGAGTTTTTCTGAGCTGTTATCCACAGGATGCACATTTTTATTTCAATTTCGGCATATTAAACTATATTAAACAATAATAAAAAAAAATTGTCTGTAGTAAGGTCAGTGAGCCTCCATTCCTGGACCTAAACCTAGGATTACTGATATATATACACAATGGGAAAAAAATGGTCCAGGTATACCTAATAGTATCAAAATATCTATCTCATATACAACTGCACATCTTTGTTATCCATCCTGTATCCCACTAGGCCAGCAAAGATGCTCCATCCACTTAAGGCTGTAACACTAAGCATTCAAGACACACACACTTTTACATGTGTACATATGTTACAAATATATACATATATACTTTTAAGGTAAATACACAATAGTTATATAAAACCAAAACATTTAACTTTTAGTCGGGACTCTTCTGATATAATTTCATCTTCCTAAACTGTTAAAACACCATATGGAATGGTCTTGATACAGAAGCAGAACAGATTCATAGAATCATAAAAACAAAACCATCTAGGCTGCAAAAGATATTTAAGATTAGTCCAACTGGTAACCCAGCACTGCCCAGCCTAACAATAACTCATGTCCCCACATCCTACATCAACACATCTTTTAAACATCTTCAAGAAGGGAGACTCCATTGCTTCCCTGGACATCCTGTTCCAATGCCTGACAACCTTTTCTAGAGAGAATTTTTTGCTAACATCTAATCTAAACCTCCCCTTACACAACTTGACGCTATTTGCTCTTCTCCCCAAATTCTGACTAACTGCATTAAACACATTGATCATTTTTTCTTTTGTTGAGTGGAAGAGTATTTTCTGCTTTCCCTGAAATTGTCAGAACAGTAACAGGTCCTTTAGTTTTGGCTGTTTGGAGAGTCAAAGTTATAACAACCCTTATTTCCTAAGAAGTTCCAGAAATATTATGAGATGATTTGAGAACAAATCTGCTGTCGTTTGAAGTTGAAACTGGAGGATTTTGATGCTGCTAACTTTGAACCTAAATCTGATATGGGTCTTGGCCTCAACTCTAACAATCCCAGACCCTGAGCCTTAGAATCATAGAAAAAGTGAGGTTGGAAAAGACCTCTAAGTTCATAGAGTGCAGCCATCAACCTAGCACCACCACCATGTTCACTACTAAGCATATATATCTTCAAGTGCCCTATCCACGTGTTTTTTTAACAGTTCCAGAGATGGTAACTCAACCATTTTAGCACTTATCTAAAAGTGACCAAGTCCTTTCAGTAGTTTAAGTTCAGTCACAGCTGTCATAGTAACTCCAGTCACAAAATTAATTCACAGGTAAAGGAGACTTCTGCAAGTAGTTGGCCCCAGCTTGCTCTGTTCTCTGTTCCCATTTCCCAGCTGTTATGTTTTAAGCAGCAGGCTATTGAGGCTATTGACACTCAGCAGTAAAAAAAAAAAAAAAAAAAAAAAAAAAAAAAAACCCAGGTAAACTGCCTGGAAACTATCAGTGGCTGAAATTTACAGGGACAATACTTGTCACTGGAATTTTGTGGATTGTCCTTCATACTTAGAGAGGCAAGACTATGTGCTGCCTTTGCCTTTGATAGCTAAGGTGATGAATCTAAAAAAGATGAACCAGAAAGAAAATGTGTCTAGAAAAACAGTTTTCCTCTACAGAAAAATTTTAATTTTTTTTTTTCCCATCTTTTTCCATTTTTTTTTTTTCTTATTTCTGCTACACTGGTGGTGCTTTTCTCTTTTGATTTGTTCTTAAAAGTTGACCTTAGTTACTTCCCACTGCAGAGACTACATGCCTGTGCACCAGTTTAATGCTAATGAGTAAAAAGTTCTTAAGTCTAACAATAATTAAATGGGCACTTACAATTGATGAGCACTTGGGGTGAAATGCTGTTCTTTAACTCAAAGGAAAAGTAAATTCTTGATTTAGAGAAAAGAAAGATGAAAAATAAAATGAGAAAAAAATTCTGTTAGAACAGCTGTGAAACAAACAAACAAACAAGCAAGAAAGCAAACAAATAAATATAATAATTTTGAATATGCCTGCTTAAATTTCTTCTTTTACTTGCAAGAGTGGTGTCCTTCCTGGAACACTATAGTCCTTGAAAGACACTGCATTCACACAGTATATCAGAGTTAATGAAGAGACCAAGAATTAATTCTATCTATCTATCTATCTATCTATCTATCTATCTATCTATCTATCTATCTATCTATTCATGCCAGAAAAAACCTGTCCTCACAGGGGAGAAAAAGGGCTATTTGCAGTGCTGAATTTAATTACACAGAAAAGTGTCAAACACGTTTACCCTGTGTCTGATCCCCTTCCAGCCAGTTCTGATCTTACCTTCTCCTGCTGAGGCTTTTTCTTCTGTGATGATGAGCAGTTGCCAGGGAAATCATAGTGAGACTGGACTAAGCAAACTGGACATTAGACATTCATTGCATTTCCCCCAGGCAAAATTGTAGGGCATAAATAAGTGACATTGCTGATATGTCTTTGACTTCAATTGTACGGGAGGGAAATGTATGAATTGGTTTACCTTATACTGAGTTTTACAAATAATAAATTAAAGGGTGGTTGATTAAAGGACTATCACAGGGAGAACACTCAATACAGACTGCAGTACCTGTCCAATCTCATGAGCTCTCCAACACACAGTCATGGGAATAAAGAAAGAAACAAATGCAGCAGGTTTCATGCTGCATGAGAGAAGTTTTCATTTGAAAATCCCTTCCCATGGCTCTCAGATCCCACTTTTTCACAATTGAATCCTATAATTAATTTACAAACTGCCCGCCATGAGCTCTTGGTCCAAAATAGAAGTTCCAGCTCTGCAGAGAAGCCAGTAAATGCCTGCCTCATATTGCTCACCATGGCTGCAACCCCAGCTGATAAACTTTCTTGACATTGAGAGCTATATTAACATGTCAACAGAGGCATAATCCTTTCTTCTTGTCACAGAATTATAGAACTGCTTGTGTTGCAAAAGACATAAATAATACCCAGTTCCAATCCTCTACCATGGACAGTGACATGTTACGCTATACCAGATTGCTCAAAGTCCCATCCAACCAAGAGAGAATCATCAAGGTTGGCAGAGATCTTCAAGATCATCCAGTCCTACTGCCAGCCCAGCACCACCATAATCACCCCACGCCCGTATCCCCAAGTGCCACATCCAGATACCTCTTGAGCATTTCCAGAGTCAGTGACCTCATCACTGCCCTCAGCAATTTGTTCCAATACCTAATCACTCTTTCAGTTACATTTTTTTTCCTAATATCTAGATTGAAACACCCCTGGTGCAACTTAATAACCATTTCCTCTCATCTTTTCACTTAAAAAGTGGCAGAAGAAATGAACCCCACATCACTTCATTCTCCTTTCAGGCAGTTGTAGAGAGCAAAGAGGTCCCTCAGAATCTCTTCTTCCCCAGCCTATACAACCACAACTCTCTAAGCTGCTTCTCAAAATACATGTTTTATAGATTCTTCACCAGATTTTTTTGTCCTTCTCTGGACAAAAGGACATTGGGGTGCTGGACTACAGCACCACAATGTCCTTTTTGAAGTGAGGGGCTCAAAACTTAACTAGCTTGAGCTGCAGCCTCACAATGCCAGGTGTAACAAGACAATCATACAATATTTTTACAGCACAATATTGGATAAATGGCAAATATCATCCCAGGCAGCCACAGTGCTTCTAAGTACATTTTTCTGGTCTGCTTTCTAGGTGGTTTTTTCTCCTAATTCTTTTTGGAAAGCTGAATGGATCATACATCTCCAAGGAGCAACTTTCTCTTACTAAACTATGAAGTCAGAGCCCACCTATTTTTCTGCTATCTCTCCTGTGATGTTTTCAGATTGATGGACTATGAAATGAAATTAAAATTGACCACTCTAAAGTATCCAATGTGATTTTGCTCATAATGAAAAATTTTAAAATATAGTCATGTTTTATCTTATTATTGTGTAAATTAAAATAATCTGTTTACTAAACTTATTTAGTAAACTAAATTTATTTTTCTTTGTCGTTAGACCAACATTTGCTATTGCATTGCAGTTCTCCACTATATTATACTTTTGCTGCTCCAGTTTAGACATAATCATTGCGGATAAATTCCATTACAGATGCTTCTATAAGATCTCCATGGTGAAGCTAAAAATCTAGGTCAATTTTTTCACTGAAAAGTGAATCAAATTTCTTTCTGATGACGTTGGAAAGTGTGATAGGGTAAACTCTGATGAACTCCTAAACTTTGATCAGCACTACTAACCCATAGCATGACATTATACACTTTTATGTGCAGCAGCCACTAATAAAAGAATTCTAACACTCATCCAGCTAATATTTTATTACAGTTGGCGCTTATCAACTGTGGTAACCTCATGGCACTCTCATTTACTTCTGTGTACTTCCAAATTCTCTCATCTCCATGACACTGTGACCAAGCAGAAATACGAGAGACAATTTAACCTCCTGAGTCTATCTCGTGGGGGAATTACATAAGTAAATGAATATCACTGAAAACATGGATTAAAAGAATCCTAAGTAAGGTGTCTGAAATCCCCTGCTGTACCGGGCAGTTTCAGCAGCTTCCCTTTTTTAAGCTTTTAACCAAAATATCTTTAACAAAAATAGCATTCCTCTGAGTCCATTATGTTTCTGGACATGAAATGCCTATCTAGTGTTCATAGAGCTTTATGGAGTAGATTTGGGATTTCACTAATTTCAC